AAGGGGTCTCAGTTCAATCCCTTGCTTTTGCAGGCAATGACAACATAAAAGAATCATAGAATCCCTTTTTGTAAAGATACCACATTTCTGTACTTATTATTTCTGTAAGTAGAAGCTGGAAGTACAGAGGCAGAAGAGATCCATAGATTGTAAGGAGCTGGAAAGTGTCACAACCCAAAGGGTGTGATTTTTGTTTTTGTGTGCTTCGGCACTGCTAAATTGTTCCCGCTAAATTATAGCTTCTTTGCACAGTGGTGTTTTCTGCTGCAAAAGAGAACCCCGGTGCAAGGGAGAATTTCCTGCCAATTTGAAGCTTTCTTTGCAGGGTGCATTTCTTTGTTGCAGCACAGAAATGCTCGTTGCAAAGAGTTCCCGCCATTTGTATGCTAATTTGAGTCCCATTATTGGCCAGTTCTAAATTATTCACACGTGGCGGCTAGTGATTGGCTTGCTAGCCGTATAAAAGGCTTAAGTGGTTTCTGCCTGAGTTGGAGGACGCCACGAACACCGGGAGGAGGAGACTTCACGCTGTGTGAAGATCTCTAAGCACTGCGGCTCCTTACGGACCCAACGCATTTCAAGCAGGCAACAGAGACCTGATCAGCCTCTAGCCTCTCCCCGTCGCCGATACATTCCTAGACGTATGACACGACGGGCTCGCGTGTTCAGAGCCTTCAGCCGGATTGGGCTAGAGTTCACGAGTTTAGAACTCTTGTCCGCCTCTCTTCTTTCCTGTCTGTAACCGCGACTCAAGTTTTCCAGCCTACACCACTGCCATCTCGGTGTAAGTAAACAATCTTTAAAACTACCGTTAAGCGTTTGTGCCTAATTCCAGCTTGACGGCCTTCCCTCTCTGACCTGGCGTGCCTGGGCTGCTGGCCACAGCCTGCGTGCAGCACGGAAAAGGGCTCGGGTCACTCCCGGCCCGCACAGAAAGGACCTAGGAAGATCATCAGATCTAGCCCCCTGCACCAGGCAGGAAAGACAAGTGGGGTCAGGTGACCCCAGTGAGGTGACTGTCCAGTCTCCTCTTGAAGATTTCCAGGGTGGGTGATTGCACCACCCGTGGTGGGACCTTATTCCACAGTCTGGACATGATAACTGAAGAAGTTTTACCTGATGTTGAGCCTGAAACAGTCTTCCAGGAGTTTGTGACCATTACTCCTAGTTTTCCCCAAGGATGCCCTGGTAAAGAGTTGTTCACCAAGCCCTTGATGTACGCCTCATGTAACCTGCTACCATGTCCCCCCTCAGCCTTCTCTTTTTCAGGCTGAAGAGTCCCACATCCCCCAGCTTTTCGTTGTATGGCTTGCCATGCAAGTCTCTGATCATACAGGTGCCCCTTCTCTGGACTCTTTCAAGCTTTACCATGTCCTTATTAAAGTGCAGTGCCCAGAACTGGATGCCGTACTCCAGCGGCGGTCTCACCAATTCTGAGCAGAGTAGAAGGATCGCTTCTTTGGTTTTGCTGGAGATGCATCGATTGATGCATGCCAGGGTATTGTTAGTCCTGCTGGCTACAGCGTTGCACTGCCAGCTCATGTTCATACTGTGGTCTGTTATTACCTACCTTTCATTGGTAGTACTGGTCAGGTTGGTGTTGCCAAGCCTGTAGGTGCGCAGGGGATTGTTTGTCCCCGGGTGGAGAACTTTACATTTCTCAACATTGAACTTCATCTGGTTCTGGTCTGCCCAACTTGCAAACCTGCCTATCTGCATCTATCTGTATCTGCAGCCTATCTTCAAGCATGACCATGCTTCCACATAACTTGGTGTCATCTGTGAACCTGGCCAGTTCTCAAGAACACCTCAAAAGAATAGACCTTTTAGTTCTCTTGCTATTGGATACTTCCACGAAATCTGTTTCTGCTATAAGGAAGGGAAGTTTGTTTGTTATTCTAGCTTTGAGCCTTTTGGCTAAGGTAGGATATAAATCATAGGGCTGGAAGGGACCCTGAAGGATCATCGGGTCCATCCCCCTGCAGGAGCAGGATAGAATAATTAGGTCTTTAGAAATGAAAGGCAGATAGATACCAATAATACAAATACAAACTAGAAAATCCTGCAGTCAATAGGAGAAGATCATTCTTAACATTTGTATCGAGAGCTATTTATGTTTGGAAATAGTAGTTTCTAGTATTATATCACACTACTTGGTCTTCTCAGGAAAGGCATTATCTTGATAAGTTATCTTAACCACAAATGCAGCCTAAGCAGTACTAGCAGTTACCTTGTAGACACAGAAGCCAAAAGATAAACTTTACCAATCAAAGGAGAACTTAAGCTAGTTTTCATTAGGTACTTGAAATGCACTTATTAGAGGTGCACTGGCACATCGGTCCAATATCGGATCGGCACTGATGTAAAGAAAATGGTCTGTATCGGAAATCAGCCTGAAGTGACTGATAATTTAGCTGATAAATGGCCTGTGCGTGCACGCAGCTGCAGCACAGCATGTAGGCAGTGAGGAGCGCAGCCAGCAGTGTGGAGACCTGCATGTAGATGGTAAATCTGTTGTGGTGGAAAGGGGGCAGATCAAGGCCCCCATGGTAAGAGAGCTGGGGAGGGGCAGGCACTGCTTAGCTGGGGTGGGGGGCATGGGATGGAGCCACAGCTTGTTCACGGGGCATGGGAAGGGCAGGGGGGCTCCCACTAGTGAGCACAGCTCACTTGGCAGCTCATCTGGCGGCTCCTGCCCCTCAGCCAGGAGGGCACTTGGGGGTGTGCGCCCCTGGATCTGCACGTGGTAGGCAGCGGCGGTGGCACTGGAAGGGGATGTTATGGGGCAGAGACAGCAATTTTTGGGGTGGCTACAGCCTCCTCTAGTCCCCTCCCAGTGCTGCTGCCACATGCCTGGCACCACCCTGGTGCCAGCCTCAGCCCGCAGCTGTAGCTTGCCTCAACTGCACTGTGTGCAGATCTGGGGTGCACGCCCCCTGCCCCCCCATCCCCTCCTGGGGTACATGCAGCAGCAAGAGCCCCTGCCCTACCCCAGCCCCACTCCCTCTACTGAGGGGACCTTGATCTGCCCTCCAACGCCCATTCCCTCCCCCCTCTCCTTCCACTACACCAAACTTACCAGCAATACGTAGCTGTATCAGAAATCCGAATGTATTGGCCGATTATGCCTCCTTAAAAATCGGCTATCAGTATCGGCCCCAAAAATCTCTATCGGTGCATCCCTAGCATTTATACTGCTTCCACGAGAAAAATAATTCTGATTAGTTCAGAAAGGTGGTCATCTGGAATAAAATTAATATATGCCTTTTATCTCACATCTCCACTACCAGTAGTTCTCAAGAAGAGAGCAGAGTTTGCATAATAAACGTTAATAGTTTTGAATCCAGGGCCAAATGTAAAGTCAACTACCAGCTCTTGTGTCATAAATAGGAGTACTTATCAGCCTGGTGGTGGTTTCCTTAGTGGTTACATTATCAGCAGGAGCCTTATAGACATCAAATCTTGATTTGTTACTCTCTACTGTTCTCTCCCTTGTATAAATTGCGGTATAACAGTAAATATCCAGAGCTTCTGGGTAAGACCCATGGCATTGTCATGGTAGTAGCATAGGGATAAATCAAGGGAAATTGGATTGGCATAAAAACTGAATATTCTAGTGAGGGCACCAGTTCCTTATGGTCTAAGAATACAAGACTGCTGGAACCAAACAAGGCAGAACCAATGATCAGATAATCTATTCTGCTATCTCTATTTAATTACTAAAATACATAAACCTTCATCCTCCTTACAGAGAAGCTACTGCTAGTTTATTTCCCAGAAATTGAGCTCTCCATAGGAAAAAGTTAAATGGCTGAAGAGTAAAATCAGTGGAATTAATGGTCAGCTTAGAGCTACATACACTTCTTTAGTCTACTGTATTGCGATTAAGTAAAAAGGAACTGTGTGAATATTTAGCTGTGTAATACTGATTTTTCAAGGGTTCTGAGAGTGCTGCTAATTCCTCTTACCATTTCCAACAGAACACTAGTAATTTAATTAACTGTTCCCCAATATGATAACTCCTTCATAATCTTTTTTGGCTTTCTCAGCAACACACACTAAGGCTACCCTACTTTTTCCTTGACTGTTAAAGTACTTGAAAGAGATCCTCTCCCCCATTTACCTTATTAATTTTGCTCAGTTCAGTTTTGAATAGGTTTCATAACTTACGTGTGCACATTTTACAATGCACTAAAGACTTCAGAGTTCTTGTGCGGGCCCTGTTCCAAAGAGCTGGCCAGACTACCTTCCCTGCCAAAGCCCCCTTTATAAATTAAATACTTGCTTTTACTTGTCTATTTCCTCTTATCGGCTTGGGGCTCAATCTCAAACCCTGTAAGTCCTTCCACTTTTCTCAGTGATTCCTGAAGGCCCTGTGATTCTCAGACTCTGAGAAAAAAATTGCACGCACACAACTTGAACGGCAGGAGTTATTTTTCTGATGTCGGCAAAACTACTACACACTAGGGCTGTGTGAAGCTTCAGTAGCCGATTCGATTCAGAGGAGATTCGGCCCGATTTGGTGGCCAAATCTCTGAATCCAAATCAAATCGGGAGACCCATTAAAAGGTCCAAATTGATTCAGAGATTTCCAATTTGGCAATTTGGAAGGCTTGCAGCATACAAAAACTAAGAAGGAGGGGGATGGCGTGATCTTCCATATATGGAAAAGTCTGAGGGGGGGGGGGGGGGGGGAGCGTCGGTGCCGGACGGAAGACTGCTCTGATACTGACAGCTGCAGCTGGTCAGTAACTGTTATCTTTCTCTGAGTTCCCTTCCAATTGCAGAGCTCTGGGGGTGGGATGTAGAAACAACAAATAACGCTGTGTCTGAGGTGCACTTTCACAGAAACCCCTGCACTTGTCTCCTTGAAACCTTGGCAAACTTCATGCCCTTAGAAGAGGCTACCATCCCTGCTATTTTCATCCAATTAAAAAAAATGATGAAGTTATAGGTATTTTAGTGATTCCCCATTATAGTCTATGGCTGAATCTCCGAATCTGAATTAGCCAAATCAAATCGGGACAGTGATTTGAATCACCAAATTGAATCACTGTCCCTTCAAATTGGCCAAATCTGAAGTGAATACCTGCTGCTTCGCACAGGCCTACTACATTCAAAAACCTGTAGGATCTGAGCTTATTTTATAAACCAGAATATATAAAAGCTTTGGTGGCTTTAAAAAAAAAAAAAAAAAAAAAAAAAAAGGCCAGTGATCCAAAGAATTCCTTCTATATACTAACCATTACGAGTGATCTCTAAAACCAGAAAATGTTAGACAGCATCTGAAGGAACAGTTCAGTTAGTACGTATGCAAATTTAATCCAGTGTTTCTAGAAATGTGGAAAGGTTATTTAGAAATGACATGGACACAAATTCAAGAAATCTTTGTATGTACAAATGCATTTTGAAAAAAATATTAATAGGAATCTAATTTCTTGATCACAACAATTAAGAATACATTTTGCATTATCAAGCAAACAGTACATGATTTTACAAATTATGAATGGATAACATTGTATCTGCTGTTCTAAATCACTGTAAACATAAGTTCAGAAAATTCAACACTGCTGATTGATGCAATAAAGGAAATTTAACATGGGCTTACCACAGTACTTTTTTGAGTGCCTGGACATAAAGCTCTTGTGTGACAATCCTGATGCAAGATACCTTTTTTTTTTTTGTATTATAAAATTTAATACTATATTTTTGTAGTATTTTGTATTATAAAAGATACCAAGTGTCTTTATGCTGTTATCTGGTAGAGCTAATGGTGGTATTGTACATTACCACAGTTTTTTGGTTTAATTCCCTATCTTAATATTGCATACCTGCTTTTCTTAGAAGCCATCATTCTGCAGATCTTTCAGGTCAGAATTTGAACATGTGATCCATTGCAAATAAAGAGGTAAATACTTTTGGCACTTATTCTTATAGCACAAATAAATCCACATCAAAGGCTAAAGCTAGAATATCTAAGCCATGTAATCATATACAATGCTACCACCAAATGCATTGTGATCTTGCTGCTATAAATGTAAGACAAATAATTTAGTAGTTTGTTTAAACTGGAAGACTTGAAAAATGTAACTTTGAAAAAGAAAATTGAAAAAGGATTCTTATTAGCAAATCCACTTCAAAAAAGAATCTGATTAAAAAAGGTAAAGGTGCTTACAAAAAGATCAATAAAAATAAAATGCACAATCTAAAACTTACTTTTCTTATGTAATTTTCCCTTGGAGAAAATGGAGAAGGGTCAACTTATTGAGACTGAGAAATGCCACACTAGAAGTACAACACAAGGCTGGAACACAAATCGCAGAAAATAACTGATTCACCATTGCATTCCTTCAGCTTTAAACAGAAGGCTGGTGTAACAGTACTGAATTTAGTGCAAACTGTATGTCTGGGTGTACTTGGAGAAAAAATGGCAACGTTAAGTATTAAATGTGTTTGAAACTATCATTATAAATGTATGTGTATATAAATTAGTATATAAGCCTCCAGAGCCCCTTCAGAAAACTAGGGAAGAGAGAATTTTTGAAGAAATACACAAGCATAACTTACTTCCACAAAAAGGAAAAAAAAAGATGCATAAATTAAAAACAAAACCTTAATGAATTCAAACTAAAAGATGAACATTTGCAAGGCTAAGATTTTTGTTCCAGTGCTAATAGACTAAATCAAAATCTAAGGTTGCTTTACATTTCAAGAGTCAGGCATTTAGAGTGAAAATAAAATTCCAACCCTCTATTTACAGCTTTGATCTCCAGTTTAACTTTTTTTTGCTTTATTTCAAATTTTCTTCAAGAAAATAGTATTCCTAGTTTCAACTATGAATTAACTTTTAGACCCTGAATGCTCCATATTACTCTTTATCCATATGTGCCCATAAACACAGTATTTGCCAATGCTGAGCACAGACTCCATTAAGAGTAAAAAATCCACACTAGGTTATGCTTCCACTGGTGACCTGATATCCTCAAGTAACTCTGGCTGTACGTGAAGTTCAACTGCTCAGTCTAAATTGGAAGGTTTGAATTGTTGTAGCTTCTTAAGGAAGATTTATATATAAAATCTTCCTTAATTGTTAAACACAAGGGCCACCTTCTCAAGTCTAGGAAGATTAGTTTTATCCAGGTTGCTGTTTTTATATTACTATAAGCATTTCTGGTCTCCAGTGTTAATGCCTATGTTTTCACTACCCCCCTTTAAAATGATGTCCTGAACAATTTGCTTAAATTAACATCACTTTTTTTTGTTTCTGTTGTTTTGCTCATCTTGTTTATGTTCAGATTTGACTAGTCTCCTGGGTATTATGAAAACACTGCCATCACTACTGCAATGAATAGCATACTGGCTCGGGTTAACAGGTCTACCTTGGTCATCTCTTAACCTACTGAAAATGTCATGATAAAGGTCACGCAGTTTTTGCTTCATAAGGCTAATTGATTTATTGCACTGAGTTCTCTCCTTCTTAAGGTTCGCCTTTTGTGTTTGAAGGTTGCAAACATCTTCTTCCAAGTTCAGGATCACATCTAGCTTACGTTTGCGGCAGTTCTGTGCAGCAACTTTGTTTTTTCCTCTTCTCCTTATGTCACGTATAAGTGATATTTGGGAATCTGTCAGGTAGTACGTTGATAGCATGCTATTGAACAAATCAACAGGCATGCTCACAATTTCATCTATGGAAAATGGAATTCTCAGGGCTTTTGCATGGTGCTCGTCACAACTAAGATTTCGACTAAGATTTGCATCTGAACTGTTGTGGCATCTGCCTTTTTCTTCATCTGGTTTTCCAGGCAACAAGGAACAATGCTCAGAAGTGGTTGTTAATTGATTTGGCAGCTGATTGTAAGTGTGATTATGAAGAAGTTGTTGGAGTGTTGATTTCCCCAAATAGTCTAAATCTCTTTGATAATCCATAGGGGAATATTTACTTGATTCTGGGAAATGACCCCCTACAGCTCCTAAGACATCATGGGAAATAGATCTAGCATCACTGCTATAACCAACAGCACCTTCACTGCAGCCTGAAGAAGCTGATGAATCAGAATTATTTGAAAAGGCGGTGCTGTGGTTAGAATTTATAGAAAGTCCAGACTCAGAGTCTAGTTCTCCAAAGAGTTGGGAGATTTCCATATGATCAAAACCTTCCTCCAAAGCTAATGACATTGCATTTATCTCATCAAATATATTTTCATCAAGATTTGTTAGATGATCCTGGTTTGTTAGATTCCTGATGTCAACAGATGGAAACAGCCCCATCAAACTTGTCCCATTAAGCAGTGATTCATGATTTGTGATGCTAGAATTTAATTGTAGAAAAGGCTCTTGTCTTTGTATGCTTCTCATTTCTGGATTTATCCTTGTGCTGTGGTTTGAGCTCAGAAACATAGCTTCACGAAGACTGACATCATGGCTAATAGCTTGGGTCAAATTGACATTATAGTGTGAACATGATGAATTTGTATTTCTGCTACTAGTAGCAAAAGGTTGAATATCTCCCAGTGAATTTCTCTAAAGGAGAAAAAAAAATTAGCATCAGCAACTCTGGCCAAAACAAATTCTCACCTATATACTGACTCACCTACTTTTTCCTTCTTTTTTAGCATTATCCCTATTATTAGGATGCATAATGATACTAAACTAAAAGCTGGAAGTAGTCTGTCTTAATTATATATAGATCCATATCTATTCTCTGATTGCATTATTTTCTAAAGAATCCAATGCTGGCCATAGGTAGGTGTTTCTAAGTTTTTCTTGAAAGGAAACAAAAAGCTTTATGGCTGTGAAACTGTCCATTAAATGAAATAATCACAGTTGAGCCAATACAATACTGTCTTCCAGAGTATGCAGGAAGCTCAGAACATTCTGCAATTGTGAAAGGCTGCATTCACTTAAATTCTTAGATAAATAATCCTGTCTAGTTTTAAGTTAAGATATCAACACTAGTTATTTTACTAATTAGTTTGGAAGAAATGTTGAACTTTCCCTCTTGTATACTCAGGCCTTGTCTTCACCGCAGAGCTAACTTGGGTGACTGGCACATAGCTCAGACAACCCTACACCCAGCCACTCTGCAAAACCATACTTAAGATGCTGTATCTTGGCTGGTGCTGCACTCCCTTGCATATGTTGCTAGGATGTCTGAGAGCACATCATATGTACTTTATGCTGCTGCAAGCTGAGCTGCTCTATGATTCTCTTCTAGTGAATTGTGAGAGCACTTTATACTTCCAGATACAAGGGGGAATTATGGAAAGGAACTGCCCAACGATCAGCTTTCAAGTAGTTAGCCTGTCCCTCACTGCACAATGGCAGAAATGAGCCTGACTGAAAGCCTAACCAAGCTTTAATCTATCACCCAGAGTAGGCTTGAAAGCATGACTAAATTCTGGTCAAAGGTTTATTTATGCAGACAGAAGAGTAGGTTAGGGGCTAAGTAAGAGGTTGGATTAACTCTTCAGGGAAGAAGCTATTTAATTGTTTCTCATACCACTCTATCAGCTAAAACAACTAAAGATTATTTCCTCTCCTGCCTGAATCTCTAGTTTACCATCTCCATCAATGCTGTCTACGACATACTGTACATATAACGTATGAGGAAAACAGAAACTGGGGAAACAAGAATGTAGTTCATTATCTTTTGTCTTTTAATACTAACAAAACTTCTGCATAGCCTTCAGTGCCCAAGAACCCAATTACTAAAGAATAAAAGTTATGGTCCTGTGCAACTGAAGTCTATATTACTACAAAGTACGCAGGCTCAGGTTGTATTTTGCAGTTCCCAACAGTACCACATCATTACGAAAGACTGAAATATTATTTGCCGACATTGTGCCCTTTCTGCTGACTCTTCCTCTCAGACATATTAAAGCTGCTCTTATTTCACTGAATCCACTATTCAAAAACAATCATAAAAAAGCAAAGTAGTAGTTTCAAGTAGAGTTCATGACCCTGAGGATTTGCCAAAGTGATGTAATATTACAACAGAAGTTTCTTATTTTTTAAAGATATTTTTTGACTGTTGCTATGTGTAAAACATACCTGAACAGGGGAAACATTATGGTAAAACTGACTGCACAGAAAATACTGGCAAATGCATGAATGAATAAATAAATACTCCCCATCCCTTTCAGTTACAGCAGTGACTCCACAAATGTTAGTAATACTTTATTTATCTTGCATACCACTCCCTCCAAATAAGACATGCGCCTTGATTTTTGGGAAGGTGGAATGAAGCAAACAAGACAATGGTGTAGGAAGGAATGTTTTAGGCTTATTAGGAACTGGGGAATCTTTTGCAATGGGGGAACCTGTACAGAAGGGATGGTCTATACCTGAGCCTAAATGGTACCAAATTGCTGGCATGTAATATTAAAAAGGAGATAGAGCAGGTTTTAAACTAAAAATGGGAGGAAAGCCAACAGATGTGGAACAGCACACAGTTCAGACTGACAACCCCAATAGGGGTGAAACCATAAAAAAATGGAGATAAGAAACAGGGAGAAGACAAGCACAAGCAACTACCTTTAATGATTACAAAGTCACACATAAGCGGCCAGGCAGCAATAAAAACTATATGTGCTTTTATAATACTGTTAAAAATTTAAGGTCAAAGGTGGGGGAGCTTAACAGTAAATAATATTATTGTCTAAAACATGGTGGAATGAAGTGGGAAAAAAAAAATCAACAGGATGCTGTAATTTTAGGATACAAATTATACAGCAACAAGTGGGCCTTTAGCTCAGTTGGTTAGAGTGTGGTTCTAATAACACTAAGGTTGCAGGTTCAATCCCACTTGGACTAGATGATCTCTCGAGGTTCCTTCCAGCCTTACTTATGTATGGCCACATCCACAAGAGTGCAGAGGTTTGTTTTCCTAGGGACAGCTAGCAGTGGGACACCTTGTGCTGCTGCAAGCTGTCCCTGGGGAAGGCCTGTGCCATGCACCCTTTAGCAAAGGGGTGGGGAAAATGTGGCCCGCGAGGCCATTCTATCCAGCCTGCAGGGCCCCTAAAAAATGTAGAAAATCAATATTTCTCTGCCCTTGGTTCCTGTCAAAAATGACAGGTATGTCTTACACATCGCAGCAGCCAAAAATGACGGGAACCAAGGTCAGTAGGACCCAGGAGAAGCCCGGTGGGCTTCAACAACAGTGGGGCCCGCCCAGCCCAGCCCAGGAAGCCCCAGCCAGGGTTTCTGGGCTGGGAGCACGTGACTGCCCCGGCAGGATAAGCTCTGGTAAGTTGAGGGGGGGACCCCGGGCAAGGAAGGAGTGCTGTGGGGGGTGGGGGGTGGTCCACTCCCCCACCCACACTCAGCTTTTCCCTGGGCTCCTTCCCTGTGTGGGGAAAAGTGACCCCTCGCCCGCCCCATGGCCGGCACCCCGCGCTGCAGGCGCTCAGCCTGTGCAGGGCTGTCCAGAGCAGGCACAGGCAGCCCCAGGTAGGCTGTGATTGGCTGCAGCATGGGGCTCTGGGCTTGGAGCAGGGAGGGGCTGCTTTCTCCCCTTACCCTGCACTCAGCACCAGCTTGTAACCTGGCTCAGTGCCCTGTGCTGCAGCCACCTGCAGTCCGCATGAGGCTTCCTGTGCCTGCTCCAGACAGCCCTGCATGGGCTGCAAGTGCCTGCAGCGTGGGGCGCCGGCCATGGGGCAGGCGAGGGGCCACTTTTCCCCACGCTCAGCACCAGCTTCTTCCCTGCTGGCAAGCAGGGGGTCGGGGCTGTGCACTGCACTGGGTGTGAGCGGGTAGGGAGCCAATGGAAGCACAGGGCCCACACCAGTGTCCCGGGGCCAGTGCTGGCGGGGCCCAGAGCAGGGTGGCAGGAGCGTGGGGTCCCAGCTGGCAGGGTCCCTATGGAGTCAGGCCAGCTCCTCCCTCCCTGCTGGTGCAGCCCAGCCTGGCTCCACAGACCCCTGCTAGCCTGTGCCCTGCTCTGGGCCCCACCAGTGCTGGCCCTGGGACATTGGTCCCAAGATGGTGACCAGGGGGTGGGGCACCTGTCAAGGGGCAGGGCTACCCATGCAGCCCTCGACAGCCTACCAAAACTGGGTAAGTGGCCCTCCTCCGAAAATAATTGCCTGCCCCTGCTCTAGCACATGGCAAGTTACCCTGGGTGGGATAGAAGAGGCCAGGGCCAGCACTAGGCTGGCTCCAGCAGCCTTACCTGGCGGGGGGAGGGTCTGGGGGCCTCCTGGGGCTGCAGCCACAGTGATTCCGCTGTTCGGAGTCTAGCTGCCAGCTGGAGCATGGCTCTGGCTGGCCAGGCTCCCATTCTGAATGGCATATGCTGCCCCTGTGTGCACCGCTCTGCTTTTTTTTGGCACACTTTTTTTGACCCCTGGATATCCAGGGGTCAAACCCTCCCCTGTGCTGCTCCCTTGCAGCATGGAGAACTGAATGCACAGTATGTGGTGCTGTAGACGTGTTTGCAGCACCACATACCCCATGGCCACACCCATCTGGATGCAGCCTATAAAAGATAGATTAGGCTGTACTACTGAGGGAGTAGCAACCTACATCAAAAACACCACCGAATCAAATTGGGTAGACTTTGATAAGATAGATGCCATAGAATCTCTGTGGATAGAAATTCTGGATTTCAATAGAAAAAAGTACGTCTGGGGATATACTACAGGTTCCCAGACCACGATGGCAGAAGTGAGCTAGAAATACTAAGGGAGATGACAGAGGTTCTGACAGCAGAAAACACAGTAATAACGGGTGATTTCAACTATCCACAAAGAGACTGGGTCAATCTAACATCAGGCTGGGATACAGAGACCCAATTTCTTGAAGTTATAAAAGACTGCTTCTTAGAAGAGTTAGTCCTGGAACCTACAAGAGGAAAAGGCATTCTTGACCTATTCCTAAGCAGTGCATGGGGTTTGGTGCAAAGGTAAGTGTTACTGAGCTGCCCTGCAATAGTGACCACAAAGCAATTGGGTTTGACATTCACGTAGAAGGGGAGACGAGAAGAAAATCTAACACTGTAGTCTAACTTTAAAAAGGGAGACTGCACCAAAAAAAAGGAAATTAGTTAGATCAGGGGTGGGCAAAATGTGGCCCACAGGCCAGATATGGCCCACCAGGCCATTCTATCTGGCCCGCAGGGCCCCTAAAAATTTATAAAATTAATATTTATCTGCCCCTGGCTGCCTGTCGTGTGGTCCTAAATGGCTTGCCAAAACTCAGTAAGCGGCCCTTCGCCTGAAATAACTGGCTGCCCCCGAGTTAAACAGAAGTTAAAATGGGACTTTAAGGAGGTAAAGAATGTGCAAACAGCATGGAAACTCCTTAAAAACACTTGGAGGCACAGATAAAATACATACCACAAATAAAAAAAATGAAAAGTGGACCTACAGAAAGTCAGCATGGTTTAATGGCAGAGTTGAAGAGCCAATAAGCAGAAAAAAGTCTTCTTTCAAAAAGTGCACGTCAATTCCTAATGAGGAAAATAAAAAAGATCATAAACTCTGGGAAATCAAATGTAAAACTGTAATAAGCAGCTA